TTTTATTTATTTATAGGAGAGAGAGAGAGAGAGACAGCGGAGCAGGGGAGGGTCAGAGAGAGAGGGAGTCACAGACTGAAACAGGCTCCAGGCTCTGAGCTGGCAGTCAACACAGAGCCCGACGCGGGGCTCGAACCCACGAACCGCGAGATCATGACCTAAGCGAAAGTCGGACGCTTAACCGACTAAGCCACCCAGGCGCCCCTGGAAAACCAATCTTATTCAAATCCCTTCTCTGTTTAGGAATTGTGTATAACTACAACTAATATAGTCCTTAGCTTAAGATGCAAGGGTTTGCTAGTTTCATCCAAATTACCTCTCCCCAGCCTTATTTTCTATCCCTCTTCTCCCCTTTCCACACACATTAGCTCCCAGAAACCCCAGACTGCTTTCCAAACACACTCTGTCCTCTCCAGCCTCCCGGGTCCTCTGCTAACTGAAACCTGAATCCTGCTATGTCCTGATTTACACCCTGTGCCATCCAGGGAGGCTGCTTCCTCTGGTAAGAATCGGTTACTCAGCACACTGTTTAAACCTATCTTTGCTGTCTAAATTGAACAGACCGGGTGGTGTATACTCCCCTACACACCTGCATCCCTCGCTGGACTGCTTAGTCCTTGAGACCAGGGATCACCTGTCCCTCTGCCCTTCTCACTGCTCATCCTGTGTGTTGCACATAGTACGTATTTTGGTTGACTTGAACAGATATTTCCAAATCTCCTGATGTCAGGACACCAAAACTTTTTAAATTTAATTTGAATTTTAAGCAGTCCTTCTGTGATGGGGGAATTTGTTAGATGCCTTGGAGCACACTGGTGTGTGCTCTTCTCAGAGGAAGAGGCAGACAAGCAGGGCTCTAGGACTGCCGCTCTGGATGCTTGCTTTTTAACACTGGTTTTCCCCATTCTTTGATAAGACTATTAGACTTCCTGGACATGGGGATTAAAAGTAACCTCTGCCCTCTGACCATGACCATCAAGGAGCGTCTGAGTCTTTGTGGGGATACTGCAGCTTTCCTGCAGTTATAATCAGAAGAATTGTGTATAGCCAGGCATCCAACTCAGAAGAGGGGCTTGGGGACGCCTGGGTGGCTTAGTCGGTTAAGCGTCCGATTTTGCTTAGGTCACGATCTCGCGGTTCGTGGGTTCGAGCCCCGCGTTGGGCTCTGTGCTGACTGCCAGCTCAGAGCCTGGAGCCTGTTTCAGAGTCTGTGACTCCCTCTCTCTCTGACCCTCCCCTGCTCACGCTGTCTCTCTCTCTCTCCCCTAGAAATAAATAAAACATTAAAAAAAAAAAAAAGAAGAAGAAGCGGGGCTTGACTTGGGGCATTGGTTCAGACCCGCCAGCTCTTCAGGTTCACCAGCCCTCTCTCACATGCTGGGTGTGTGGGTGAATGACATTCTCAAAGTTGTTGCCTCGTCCTAAAGATGCCATCTACTTTTCCACACACCCTAAGCACACAGCTTTGTACAGTCCTTTGCATAGTCCTGGGGCTTTTGCGATCCCCAGTTCCCTGATGACTTACTGTTATGATGTTTGTACTATATTTCTCTTCCAGCTCCTTAATGCTGAGTTTGTGGTCATCCTGAAGTCCATGAAAAGAAGAGGAGAGTGCATTAGATAATTCCAAAATACACAAACCCTAAATTAAGTTTTGACCAGCCCCTGAGAACTGAGAGTAGCACTGAAGGGGAGCCAGGGAGTCAGGGAGAGAAGGAAAAAACCCTCCGTGCCAGGTGATATTGCAGTGAGGGAAGAGGGAGTCTCGCTGCAGGAAAGGCTAGCTCGTCGATTCACTGGCCAGGGGGTTGTCTGGCCATCTCTCGAGTTCAGCCTTAATTCGCCATTCACCACATAATCACGGTCTTCAGTTTTTATGAACAAAGCAATGTATTTCACCTCAATCTGTTCTACAGCACACACACATTCTAGCACACCGGTCTGTTGTCCAGGTACTAGTGATCTGAATACTTAGTTCAGACCTGAGTTCTGCGATTAGCTGAGGGTGAACAGCAATACCAAACCAGACCCACCTGATACATTCTGACAACTCATTACCCATGTAGCCCTCATTGGGCAGGTAGTCGCTGTAGAAAGAGGCAAGACTTTCCTTAATCAAATACTTGAGACTCAGGGAGTTCACTTGTTAGAGAAGCCCTGAGACTTACAACCCACCAAATAAATATCAGTATGGTCCATACTTGCTAATTTTGTTACAGAATCATTAGACTAAAGCAGAGTTCTCAACCTTGGCGTTATGGACATTTGGGCCAATAATTCTTTGTTGGGGGAGGGGGCTTGCACCTACTATACGCCACCTACTACCAACCTCCCTGGAGTTATGGTAACCCAAAAATGTCTCCAGGCCTTACTAAATGGCCCCTGGGGAGCAAATTCCTCCTCTCCCTTCCCTTGAGAACCACTGGGCTACAGCATTAGAAGCCTCCTTCTGTCTCAGAAAACCCAGGGTTAACTAACTCTCCTTCACCCCACCTAGAAAATCCAGCACTCAGCATTCTTTAAGCTCTGATCATCTGAAACAAAGATTTATACTATGATGGGTACAAGAACCACCCCTTTTCTTAAGTATATGCGAAAAAGTTACATGTTTTAAGAGATTAAATTTTTCCAATTACAACATTTGTTTGCCCTTTACTCAGCCAGATTCTGCTTTACTCATCCAGTCATTGTACCAATATTAATAATTGAAAAAGATTGCTGGGGATTGAAAGGATTAAGACACAGTTCTGTGCACAGTGTGCTAAGTTCTGGTCAGACAGAAGTAAGAGGTGATTAGAATCATTGTTCGCATGGATGGAACTCAGACTTTAACGGGCCTATACTGTTAACGCCGAATACCTTTCCTCTTTAGTCCTGGCTTTGGGGATGAGACCATGGGGGAGGGGCAGGAGGCGGGGTGGGTGCCTCTGGCGCACTCTGCTGGCCAACAATAGAATAGCTCAGGGCATCATCCTGTGGCTCAAGCTTGGGTCATTTCATTCATCAGCCTGTTTATTCAGAAGCCAGGGATACTTTAATTCTTGTCAAAGTCCCAATGTGCCAGGGGTGCCTGGGTGGCTCAGTCAGTTAAGCATCCAACTTCGGCTCAGGTCATGATCTTACAGCTCGTGGGTTCGAGCCCCGCGTCAGGCTCTGTACTGACAGCCAGCTCAGAGCCTGGAGCCTGTTTCAGATTCTGTATCTCCCTCTCTCTGACCCTGTTTCATATTCTGTATCTCCCTCTCTTTGATCCTCCCCTGCTCTCTCTCTGCTCTCTCTCTCTCGGAAATAAATAAGACATTTTACAAAAGTTCCAATGTGCCAGAGGGTATCCAAGTACACTGTCACAAGTGAAATTATAGAATTCTTGTGAAAGTGTTGGGAAAGAAAAAGGAAAGAAAGATGTTCCTCTCTCGCACACGATGCTCAGAGAAGGGAGATTATCTTCATAGTAAACAGGCATAATGGATATATGTTCATGTTGTAAGCAGCAATTTCAAGGAAACTAGATTTGCTTCAATCCTAAATGCTAGAGGTACACAGATGATAATAATCTATTGTCTGGTGCTGTGCTAAGTCTGTCTCCTCCTGTTTTTCATTTAACCCTCTTAATAACTTCAACAGGTAGGCACCATTTTTAATTCCTGTTTTTCAAAATAGGAAATGAATGTCAATCAAACTGGGATCTGAATTCAGGTCAGTCCAGTATCAGGGCTGTGTTCTTAACTATCTGTCAGAACATACACGGGCAAACGGTGTACTGCTGAATGTTCAACAAGCTCTCCAGGAAAAATAAAGTAAAAGCTCTGATTTGTAGCATTTACCGATTTCTCACCATAGCCAAATTTCAAGCTGTTAACCCAATGTCAATCAACTTGCCAAATTCCTGAATATTTAACAACTGGCTCTCTAGTCCACTTGAACTTGCACCGCTGCTATCTGCTCTGACGATAACAGAGTTTTAAAGTCTGCAGTGAACTGCAGGACAATCTAGCAAACTTGGGGCTTGGTCTACAAGTTTCCCCCCTGACGTCCCTAAGATGTAGCCTGTCACATTTCAGTTCTGAGGCAGATCTTTCCCATGGTGTCCAGCTTTAGTAATTCCAAAGTTCTTCCTTAAAAGGAATACCAGGCTTCCATAAATGACAAAATGACTAATTATAACTGATACTTTAAACTACAAATTGCATCCGTTACACAATATTCTCACTTTTTTCTCAGTTGCCCCCTCACCCATGCAGATTGCTTCTTTCCCACTTTACATAAAGAAAATGGAGCTTCACTGAAGCTAGGAAGTTTGCTCCCAGTTATCCATCAGTGAGGTGGAACCTGAGTCGAAGGTGCTCTGAATCCAAGCCCCATATTCTTACCAGTGAAATTATTCCTTCTCAGGGGCATACAGAGCCAGAAACCTGGCAAGGTTTGGTGGTTTGGGTTTTTCTCCTGCATGGTTCCAGCTCCAATCGTTTTACCTTCCCGGCTAAAACCCAGCAATTGGTCACCTACGTCTCACTGAAGCAGCCGGGAAGGAGCGCCGTCCGGGCTGTACCTGTGGGGACTGGAATCGGGGGCTCTTCCCTCAGAGCGCCTACACCCAGAAGGTAGCGACCTTCTGGCGGCCTGACCCCTGGGGAGATATTATCACACCGTTTATTTTAAACAAGGAAACAAATCTCATGGGGCGGGGGGGATTTTCAACTCCTTGAGACTGATCTTTCTTTCCCAAGAGGCCGGTTATAGGGGCGCGTTCCCAGAGGGAAGGGCAACGCTCAGCAGACCCACTTGGCTGAAGGACCCAATCAACTGACCAGATCCAGTTCTTTCTTAAGCTCCTCTTTCTGGTGATTCTTTCTGGGTTCGAAGCGGTTCTTCAGGCCTCTGTACTTCTCCTTGCCATCCGCCTTGTCTGTTTGGGCAATGTCTTTCGTTCCACTGAGCTCCACAGAGTAAATTTCTAGCGTTTTCTGAAAGAAAAGCAGAGGTGCAATATTGGTCCAAGAGGGGTTTTCTGAAGAGGCGTGGAGCCCTGCTCCCGATGGGCCGGGGTCTCCAGGGAAGGGGGCCTCCCTCCGACCTTTCACGCTCTCCTCCGGCGAGACTGTGGAGAGGTTCTGTGTCCCCCACCTTCAAACAGCAGTGCCTGGACCCCTCTCTGTCCTTCCCTCTCCTGCAGTGTAGGGGGAAGGCGGGTGACCCAGCCCCGCCAGCATCTCCGGGGGTCGCCCCTCCTGGGGCGGGAAGGTGGGAGGTTACTGCCCCCTAACTGGAGACATGACCCCTCCAGAGAAGCCCCAGGGGCGCCCTGGGATCTTGCTCCCCAAAGGACACACCGGCCGCCTGTCCCGTTTCCTGGGAGCGGCGTGGCCACCGCACTCACGGACCGCGGTCCCGGGCAGGGCAGGCTGGACGCCCGGCCCGCGCCACCTTCCGGATCGGAACCGGCCTCCCCCGAGCGTCTGGATGTGGGTCTTCCTCGCGGCCAGCCCGGGAGGGGCGAGGCCGGAAGGGAGGCTAATACAGCCCAGAGCCCCCGCCCGCCCTTTCCGTCGCCTTCCACGGGTCGGCAGCGGTCCCGGGCGGGCGCGGGGGCCGCACGCACCTTGCCCATGGCGCGGCCGGTGGCGCCGCCTGCGGGCGGGCGGGGGTCCCGTCGGACGGCGCGCGCAGGGCGGGGGTCCGGGCTCCGGCGGCGGCGCGCGCCCAGCGGGGGTCCCGTCGGGCTCGGCGGCGGCGGCGCGGTCCCGGGGCGCTCTTCCCGCGGCCGGGCGCCAGCCGCTGCGGCGGGGAGGCGGTGCCCGCCTTAAATGCCGCCCGCCCCGCCCCCGCACCTGCCGCGGCGCGGCTCGCCCGGCCCCGCGACGTCCCGGGAGGCGGGAAGGCCGCGGGCGCGGCCCGGCCCGGCGCGTGGGGGCCCCCAGGGCAGCGCCGCCGGGCGAGCTCGGGACGCTCGCGACGCCCGGTCCCCGCTGGGTGGGAGCCCCGACCCGCTGCGCCTTCGGCGTTAGTTCCAGCGGGGGAGCCCCTAACCGCGTCCCCGCAGAGCGGGGTGCGGCTCCACCAGCACCTGCTCTCGAAGGCCCGGCCGTACGAGGCGACTTTCCGCAGGCGCGTGTGGCCGCCGAGGGCACGGCGGGAACCGAGGGGGGCGTGAGCAGCCGCCGGGTGAGACCCGGGTACGAAGCCGCAGGCCTGAAACCCGGCGGAGGCAGAGCGGCGGCGTTAGACCCGCGGCGCGGCCGCCTCGCGGGCGGACGAGCCCCGCGTCCCCTGACGGACGGGCGTCGCCGGCTCCCGCCGGCGCTGCACGCGCGTCTCCGCCGCCCTCCCCCCCGCGCCCCTCCCGGCCTGTCCTTTCCAAAATGGCAGAATTTAAAGCCAGACCCCCAGGAGTCACTCCGTCACCAAATGGAAGGGACCGGAAAACCCCGGTGACACTGGTTCGCAGATGCACATTACAGGCCCTTCAGGTCGGGGGGACATACATTCAGCCCACACTCCAGCAGCACGCGCCCCCGGGTAAGTCTGTGTGGTGACCCGCTTCCCTCTCCCCTGGAGAATGTTCTTCCAAGGAAACATTGGCAGGCAGGGCTGAGGGGAAGCGAGATCCGCTCGCAGCTGACGCTCCCGCCGGGAACCCGGGAAAGGGCCGCGGGGCCTGCTCGCCTTCGCTTCCCGCGCGGGCTCCGCGTTCCGCACAGATGCAGACGGGGGACGCGGGCTGCCTGGACCATTGCCCCGAATCCCGCGGACCTCAGGCTTCACAAGCAAATGCAGGTTCACGCTGACGTGACTAGGGGGTCGGAGAGGGGAGTGGGGGGAAGAGCCTGAGGGAGAGGCGATGGCATAGAAATCCTAGCAATTCCTCCTGGAGAAGATTGCTGTTTACTCTCGTTGGTGTCAAGTTTGGAAACGTGTCCGTGGCTCCTAAACTGGGCAAGACGGAACGTTGTCCGGTTCTCTGCCACGTCTCCGGCCCCGCGGAGGCCCTGGCTTCTGGCGGGGCGGCTCCCAGCCAGGCCATCAGCTGTCCTGGAGTGTGACTTCTTCCAGAAAGGGACGAATGGGGCTATTCCACACACACACACACACACACACACACACACACACACACACCCTAACTCGTTACTGCTGTTGCTGGTCATCTTGTCCCAGAGGCCGCACATCCCATTATTTCTTGAGGAGGATGTCCTCCGGGACTCTGGGAGGCAGGCCTCTGGGCTGGTCCTCACCTGACAGAACTATAGTCTGGATTTCCCCTCAGAAACACTTACCTCTTTTTGGCCCCAGGGACTACCACCCATCCTGTTCTGGGCAATGTACCCTGAACTCCACCCAATTCTAATGACCTCTCTTGAGTTGGCTATAAAGGTTCAACTTCGGACACCTTCTCAGCCTAAATACTCTGGTAGCAACTTCTGCTTGAGGCCGGGTTTTCCTGTCTTTCAAAAGAAGCCTATTTATGCCAAGAATCTCTTAGAACTGTCCTCATTGATAAATGTTACATATTTGGGACAGGCTGTCATAATATATGTAAATACTGCTAGCTCATTTTAATTGATTAATGCACTTAATTTATGTGAAACTCTAGTGGACATGGGGGGGTGGCTAGAAATGGAACTAAAATTGTGTCATTCTCTGCCCTCAATAAAGTTACCCTTGAGTTGGAGAGGCAAAAATTAATAAACAGACAATAGTAAAAGACCCAAACCAGAAAATAATTTAGCACCAAGTTATTGATTCTACGTGCTTTAAGAGTTTAAAGGTAAGATGAGGAAGATGGCAAGATTTTTAATTTTTTTAATTAAAAATTTTTAAATATTTATTTAGAGAGAGAGAGAACAGATGTGGGGAAGGGGGCAGAGATAGAGACAGAGAAGGAGGGAGACATAGAATCCGGAGTAGGCTCCAGGCTCGGAGCTGTCACCATGGAGCCTGATGCGGGGATTGAACCCATGAACCATGAGATCATGACCCGAGCTGAAGTCTAATGCTTAACTGACTGAGCCATCCAGGTGCCCCATGATTTTTATTTCTTAGAATCAATTATTCAGATTTTTTTCTGTCCCTTTTCACTCTCTGTGAAGGGTAGGAGGGAGGCTGAAAGAGTGGCAGAGATTGGACCTTGTACTATTGGGTCTCTTGTATTACCCTGAAGGCCCCCCTCCCGCTGCAGAGTCCTGGGTGAAGGGACATCCAGCCGGCTCCAGGAAGCGCGAGTGTGACGAGTGTGACGACGATTCAGCACTACAGAAAAGGGAGTCCAGGTGCTAATGGGAAGAGGAAGGTTCACTTCCTGCCTCCGGTCGGGACCAACCAGTGCCACTGCTGCCCACTGTTTTCTTCCTCTCCCTGGATTCCTGTCCCACGCACACAGGCATCCCCAGACACCTGTGTCCACTCATCGTGCCAGGCTATGACTAGGCTGCATTTCTACACGGAGGAGGGTGTCTGGACTGGAGTCAAAATGGAAAAACAAAAACAAAACAAAACTTGAGGCAAGCACACCGCTACACTGCTTCCTCATTTCTTCACGTGTAAGAAACCCTGAGATTGGCATATGAACGACCTGCAGAAAGGAAACCTGCTTTCAGAAATAGCAGGCTGAGGCTGTTAAAGACCATGCATGACCAGAGTGGATGGGGGTGACTTCAGAAGATGAAAGGCCTGCAGGGGACTCGGGGGGGACCATGGGGGGCATGCCACAGGGCATGTCCCCCCCCCTTGTGAATATAGCTCCCTAAGATGTTGGGTTACTAGTGTTTATTGTCTGAAACTTATTTGGGGGTTATAAGATCCTTTTTCAAAAAAATCACCATTTTCCTTTTGATAGGTGATCGAAAACAATTGACTGCATTCTGAAGTTCTTAAGTTTGCTTTTGAATCTTAGGGTGAAACATTTTTCCCGTTTGAATCATCTTCACCTTTCTCTTGGAATTTATACCATATGTATGTGTGTAACATGTAAGACACATAGCACGCATTACATGGAGGATATTATTCATAGAAACACGCTTGGTTAATTTTGCAGGAATTTGCGTCTTCTGATGGATGACTGGGGTGATACTCTCTTGGTCACCAGCTTCCATAGTCTTCAAAGTTATGGAGCCATAAGCAGATATTCCAATATTTATTCCTGAGATATTTACTGGAGGCCTGTGATATGTGTGTAGTGCCATGCCAGGTCCCTCCTTTGAAAGCAATTATGACCTGGTTGAAGAGGCAAGGTACATCACCCCAGATTAGAATATTAATATAAAGACATGTCAGAGGCAACAGTGGTCCAGTACTAAGTCAGCTGGCAGACACCAGAATTCCAGAGGCGAACCAAGGAAGCAGTGAGCTCTAGGCAGTGGAATGATGGGTGCTCTTGAAGGGGGGCAAGTGCAAGTGGATTTTGAAGGCTGTGTGTGTAATCTGAGACAACTAGGGAGGAGCAGGGTGATGCGTGCTATGGGAGAGAAGGAAAGAGGAAGGTAAACACTCCTGCAATGACGGAGGGGTTAGGAATGAAAATGGCAGCATTCCAGGGAGAGAAGGGCAGCCAGAGCGGACAGGTTCTCTCAGGGAGTAGCAGGGGCTCTGGCTAGGCAGATGGGACTGTGCAGGGGCTGGGCTTTATCGTTATGCCTCAGGGAACCCTTGAGGATGAGAGTAGTCTGATGGAAACCACATTTGGGGAAAGATGACCGGTTGGCTCTAGAACAAACACAGAGAGCCCTCCTGACTCTGAGGTTACTGGGCTTGCAACTGTCCCAACATGAGTCTTGAACCCAGTTCTCTTTATTCGAGGTTCCTATCAGTGAACAGGCTCTAAACAAGGTGTCTTGCTGCTTTTGTCAAAGAAATGTGCTTTAGCACCCAGATGCTCTGAGCATGTCAAATCTGCAAGCAACTGTTGTGTTAGGCAGAATTTGTTTGTTCTGTCAAGAGTCTTTGGAATGAAACCAGGGAGAAAGCAAATGGTAGTTACACAATCTAAGTTAGGGAAGCTTATGGGACTCTCCCCTCTCCACACCTCAATAAATTTATATTTATCCTGTGCTTCCACGGTTAACTGAGCTGTTCTAAGAGCTGGAAGAGGGGGAAGCTATGGGATTATAGGACATCGTAGGGGACACAGTCTGTCTCATGCACAAAGATCAGCTTCAGTTTAGTAAGTGATGAGGTGCTTCATTCTTTACCCAGATCTAAGTTCATAAAAAAAAAAAGTAGAATGTAGAGTTTGACCTTTTTCCCATAAAGTTAATACAACTGTGTTCATCTCCCCAAACTTCCATGTCTGATCTGTCCCTTGTCAGATGCTAGTTTTGGTGCCTGGGTGCATGAGAATGACCTTGTCCCTTTGGGGTCAGTGTTCCATATAAACCAGGCACAGATAACAATTACTTTCTTACTTAGTTGTCTCTCTCTCTCTCTCTCTCTCTCTCTCTTTGTCTCTCTGTCTCTCATATACTCTACATAATTGTCTATGATAAGCCAGCATCTTAAGTAAGCATGTCTAACTCTTGGAACAAATCTGTTCTGGGATTCAGCACTTCAAAATAACAAAAACTCACGGAAGAAGCAAATGGAGAAAAAAAGAAAAGGAACACAGCCTGAATTCCTGGTCTCATTCACAGCAGGGCCAACTTAGCTCTTGCTGACCCAGAAAGGTGCACAAGAGTGGCCAATGCCGCAACCCAGTGCTGAATTCAAAGTATGGCTAGATACTTTAGGCATTTTGCATAGAAATCCGAGGAAAGAAAAAATGAGTAGAGGAAACGAGAAACGGCTTTCAAAGGACAATCAGGAGAAAACTGGCAGAGACTTGCCTGCAAATTCTACCAGGAAGTTCTCTTAAGTGGTGAATTGGTAGTGGAGGTTCTGAAGTTTTATCTGCCATCACGCAGGGGAGGCAGCAAAGGGTCAGACCTGCTCTGTAAAATGCTTCTGGGTGCTGGGGGAAGTCCGTTGTAGGAAAGGCAAAAGAAAACACTTAGTACGTTTATAGGCAATCTTATTGTGGCTGCCAAAGTGTCCCCTTAGGAAATAAAGCCACTGGCTGCTGAAATGCAATATGTGTTAATTAACATGAGACCAGCATGATTACAGTCTAGGAAACAGGCAGAGTCAGAAAAACAGGACAAACTGCATTTAGTTAATTGACCGATACAGTAATGTAGGGTCTAACTGTCTCCAGTTATAGGGAGAGAAAATTAAATAAGAAGGGTCTTGGTGGGGCTGGTTATCATGTCCTGTCTAATGGCTCAACTGTCCCCAGCTTCCAGCCACTGCATCTGGGCAGTATTTATCTAAGAGACTTCTTTGACCCAGGACCTATGTTTCTCCTCTTACTTTTTTCTTCCTGCTTAGTGTTGCCAGATAAAGCACAAGGCTCCTGTTAGTGTTGCGTTTCAGATCAACAATGAACAACTTTTGCGTATGTCTTAAATGTTGCATAGGACATACTCACTAAAAAAAAATTACACGTTATTTAGCTGAAATGCAAATTTAACTGGGTATCGTTACTTGCTATTTGCTGGCGACGCTATTCCCTGTGGATGCCTTAAGGGTTTATTGCTTGTCAGCAGGCACATGTGGGAACATCGGCCTAAGCTCCACTGTCTTATTGCTAGGGCAAACGTGAAAATAAAAGGAGATTCCGATTTTCTCTTTTTGCCAGTCCTTCCCAAGAGCCTACATGAACCAGATTCGCTTTTAAGACAGTCAACTTGCATAAGTGTGGGGGTAAGATTTTTTTAATGTAATCAGATCTATTTCAGCCAGAAAATTCTTACCACTCTGCAAAGGTCACATTCTTGGGTCTGAGAAGAGCCCTGTAGGAATTCAGGTGCCTTCTCAAAACCAGTGTTCACTTTTGGTGGTGACCAGCAGGGGGCGCACATTCCAAAATGACATACTAGGCTCCTTCTATCTGCATGAGACCTTCACTATGAAGGCCACCTGGCATCACTCAGGCGCCAAGAATTTATAGGACACCCGCAGGCTTTGTAATTGTGTGCCAAGTAGTTCATTTCTGACTGAGCACAGGACAACTTCAGTAAAAGACAAAAGACAAACCCCAAACAAACCAGGAAAAAAAAAAAAACAACAACAAACCCAAACCTGCCAGTTAAAGAAAAGAAGCAACAACAAAAAACCTCAATGGTAATTAGCACAAAGAAACAACAAACCACAAACAAATGGTGAATGTTTCCCTACTCCTAGGGCTGGATCGGATTTGGAAACATCATGTTCTGCTTCTCAAGACTTGCTTCTTCCATGAGTCATTTCTCTGAGGAACACTCACTTCACACTCTACCTGCTCCCGAGGACTAATGCACCAGTAGTTGTGGCCCGCAGTCCCTGATTGCTTCCTTCCATTTGCCTGTCTCTCCATCAGAGGACCATGCTGTTTGCTGCTTACGTCTCTCAGAGACATGGCCATGGTGACTGGCATGTAGTAGGTGCCTCCACATCGAAATTCTCTTGGAGAAATGAAGGAATATTTTTAAAATATTATTTTAAAAGGAAATTCCACAGTCTCCCTTCATCACCTTTGATTTTAAGGATTGACTTTTGCAATTAGGAAAGCATCTTATAAACTACTGAAAAAAACCTCACTTTGCAGCTAGATTTTCTAGATGTAAGGAGCTCTTGATGAACTAGAAAAAGAAAACATTGTTCCAATTTTTTTGTGAAACCTAAAATGTAAAAGCAGATATTTACTTCCAGCTTGAGAGAGAGAAAGCGTTAATAATTTCTTCATAAATGATGCTGAATTGAGAACCCATACAACTGAATTCTAGTCCTGGCTTTCTTATCTCCTGACCATATTTGCTGCGGCAAGACACTTAACATATCTGTGGCCTCAGGACAGTGCTAGAGCTGGGTAGCTCAATGGCTCCCACACCTGGCTGATCACAGAATCTCCTGGGAGCTTTAAAAACCCCACACGAAAGTAAGTCACGAAAGTAAGTCTGGGATTAAGCCCTTTAAGTTTATTTTTGTACAGTTCCCCAGGTGATTCTTTTGAATGAATGGGCTTGAGCGCCTTTGGACCGGATCACTGGCCCTCAGCCTGCGCCCACCTGTGCCTGGGCCTGCAGAGAGTGACTCGAGTTGCCTGGTGTGAGCTGTGTTCCCAGGTGGTTCTAACATGCAGCCAAGGTCAAGGGCCCTGGACTAGATGCTCTTTAAGATTCCTTCTGACTCTAACACTTTATGGTCTAAGAACATTTATCTTGCCTTTGTACGTACTTATGTGGTAGTTTTATTGTATTTAGTTAAAATGGGTGCTTTGCTCTTGTGGCTCAGATCTACAGACTAAAGGGCAAATGTCTCATAGCAATCCTCTGACAAAAAGCCACTCTTGCTCCCAGGAAGAAGGGAATGTGGGAGTGTAAGCACAGGCCAGTTATACTGCAAGGCAGACAACCTCAAGTGCACATTCACGAACAGCGAGTTGAGTGTCCCAGCCATGGGCTGTGTTCTAATAATGTGTAAGTATTGACATCCAAATAGAGCTTTTCATGAACAGGATGTAGATTCATTCTACAAACGACATATTGAATTGTGATGACCTCAAAGTAACCACATTTCTAATTATTTCGATATTTTTGTATGTAACTGATATGTTCTTGTGTTTACACAAGGGTAAAAGAACACACTGCAATCCAGCTTGAGCCTAAATTGTGTCCAACAGCAGGACCTGCCTGGGCATGTTTGGTTAACTGGTGGGGCAGACCAAAAGGAAGGAGGTTGGGTGGAGACATCTCCTTGCAGGGAAGAAAAGCGAGGTGTGCAAAGGTTGGTCCAGTACAAAAACCTTAGTCATTGGAAGAACAGTGCAGTGTGTTGTCATTCTGGTTTGTCTATGACCCAGCTCAGGATGCACCTCTGGCTCAAGGAAGAGAGAGGACTGAGAGTAAAAGCCCAGAAGTCTGTCTCCCACACCTCCAAAACTTGGGTTTGGCACCTATAAGTTCTGTGCATTAACAGTGACCATGCCTCATGAAAGCTGAGATTCAGCAGGAATTTGCAGGAAGTGATGATGATCCTTGGAGTCTGGTGGATGGGGAGTTGGCAGTGGAGTGGGACAGGAATGGAGTGGACGCAGGCCAGGGGGAGACCTCTCCCGGCGTGTCAGGGTTGCTGGAGAACTTCTGTAGATGTCAGGGTTCTGAGTCAGCAGAGAGGATTGAGGGCTGACGGAACACCGTTCACATCACAATGCCAGTTTCTTTTTTTTGTTTAAAAATTTTTAATGTTTATTTTCTCTGAGAGGGAGAGAGAGAAAGAGAGAGAGCAAGCAAGTAAGGGGCAGAGAGAGAGGGACATACCAAATCCAAAACAGGCTCCAGGCTCTGAGCTGTCAGCATACAGCCCAACGTGGGGCCTGAACCCATGAATCATGAGATCATGACCAGAACAGAAGTGGGACGCTCAAACAACTGAGCCACCCAGGCACCCCTCATAATGCCAATTTCTAATTCCCAGAGACCCAGTCTAGGACACAAGCAACTGATCTCTTTGGGAGATTTTCCAGTTCAGTTCAGCAAATGCTAGGCTTTGTCGATTGTAATGGGTTATTTCACCTTGATGCTATCATCAAGCGTGTATGAGAGATGGTTCGTCTGCTGTAAGAATCATATTGTTCCTGCGGTGAGCAAGTGACTGGAAACCCTCCTGGCCTAGGGGATTATAAGTTGTTTGAATCTAATACCAACCACCTCTTCTTGGAATGCCTGTGGAAGCTTATCAGCACCTGTGTGGCAACTTAGAGGCACCTTTCTTTTACTTCTTTCCCTCCTTACGTGGCCAGGAAATATGAGCTGGGTTGGGTTTAGACTAAAGAGACCAGACCCTGGGCTGTGTTCTGGAGCCTCTGTCTTCCCAAGGGGCTGGGCTGACACTAGCTGTGAACCAGATCTTTTGCCAGGGGTATCCCTCCGCTCCACTTCAGCAAGCAATGAAAGACATGCCACACAGAAGCAAGAAAAGCTGGTCTCAGTTCAGTCATTCCATCTTACTTCTGATGTAACCTTTCAGCTCTTAGAGAATTCTGACTAGGGGTGCCTGTGTGGCTCAGTCAGTTAAGCGTCTGGCTCTTGACTTTGGCTTAGGTCATGTTCAAGCCCCATGTTGGGCTCTGTGCTGGCAGTGTGGATCCTGCTTGGGATTCTCTCTCCCCCCCCCCCAACCCCCCGCCTCTCCCCTGCTCATGCACACTCTTCTATCTCTCAAAATAAAGAAATAAACTTTAAAAAAGAAAATTCTGACTAAAGGTCTATGATGGTTAACTTTATGTATCAACTTGGCTAGGGCATGCCACCCAGTTTTTGATCAAACAATAGTCTAGATATTGCCATGAAAGCATTTTTTTCTTAACTATAATTAATAGTTAAATCAGTAAGTTCTGAGTAAAATAGATTACCTTCCATAATGTGAATGAACGTCATCCAATCAATTGAAGAGCTTAAGAGAAAACAGACTGCAATCCCCCAAGGAAAGGGGAATTCTGTCCCGAGACCTCTTTGGACTCAGTCTGCAGTATCATGTCTTCCCTGGGATTCCAGCCTGCTGGCCTGCTCTGTAAATTTTGGACTTACCAGCCACGACAGCTTTGTGAGCTAATTCTTAAAAATAAACCTCTCTATATTCAAACATCCTATGGGCTCTGTGTCTCTGGAGAATCCTGAACTAAGAGAAACTAATGTAAGCTCTTTAAGTTCATTAGTGGAGCAAACCATACAGAGAGCTTCTAGCGTATGGAAAGGAAATCAGACGGCAAAGTCAGTTTTCTGTCATTCATCTGCAACCTAAAGGAGACCTGTATGATCATCCACCTTTTAGGATGGGGATTATATTAAAAAAAAAAAATCTAATGATGTTCTCATAACTGGATATTATCACCAACTGCCCCATTTTCATAAGCACTATCTTAGAACCAGATTTCCCTGTGATTTGTTCGGAAGCCATTTTACTAATCTTGGGGTGTCTAGGTAGCAGTGGGGAGCAGACAATGAACAATCACTTTCAGGTGTGAGAAGCATGGAGCAGAAGCTCGGCTGTGAAATATTTGAGAGACTGCAATGAAATTATTTGAATTCTTAGTTTTCCTAGGAACTCAAGCTATTTCTACTAAATCTCATATTGGGTATCAGTTCTGTATCAGTATCAAATGCAGCATATAAACTATTTCTACAAAATAAAAGGAAATAGAGCATCCAAGTAACTTTCTGGTGGATTTGAACAGCGTTAGACATCTGCAGTTCATAGGATCACCTAGATTTAGAAACAGAAAGATCCAAACAGCTGCCTAAATACCTTGTTTTCTTGGTTTCTTTGGTCTTAGCCACATAGAATTAGATAATTCAGCAATGATTAGTAATGTATGAGAAGGGGAAACACAGAAAGGTGATTTCTTGAGGATTCTATTTATCTTATTAGTGGTTCCCAAATGTGTGCCATGGGGATTTAGTTCTGCAACAGGGTCATAAGGGCACATACATTAAAAAATGTTTCATACTATGATCTTCTCATTGCTGGAGAGTTGCCATGCTATTAGCCTTTGGAAGTTACTAGGACCCCATTAACCTCTCTCAGAGGGTGGTGCAGAAGGTCATCCCAAAGACGTGGCTGCTGGGTCACCTGTGAGCTGAACCTGGACACTCAGAGGCTCCTAACCCACCCTACTCCTGTCCTTGGAATGTGGGTTCCACTTGCCTTTCCTGATCCCAGAGGCTGCTGCAAGGACATAGCACTGAGATGTGATGTGCTAAGGTGGCCCACACTGTAATATGTGACTGGACCCAGTGAGACCTCCTTATAAACTTTTAAGATTTGGCAGGCAGGGGTGGGGGTCCACTTGCTTGCTGCCACCCAACATAACCCTCACATACAAGTTCCCTTTGCTTACTGAAACTGCCACTTATCAACCTGGAGTGGGCTCCTCTTTCTTTGGGCTCTCCTTGTCCTCTCCACATAGGGGCCAGTTTCAGATTATACTCGGAAACTCTACTATGGTTGCAACCCAACAATTGGTCAACCAGCCAGAGGCTGAAAAAATGAGCCTTAGGAATGAGACCTCCAGGGGGAATCCCAAGTTGAACATGGGTCTCTGTGTGGGAAGGGGTGGCCCATGTCAGATGCTTATGGACTGCTGTGTGAGTATGGGGACACCTAGAAAATGCAGAAGAGAAAGGCAGCTCATAGTTGCTGCAGTGGGCTAGTTTCTACTATGGACAGTTTGGTGGCCCCTGATCCCCAGCCAGAGGCTGGAGCTCAAAACAGAAAATTAGAACAGCTGAGATTAGAGAAGAATGTGTGATGGTCCAATACTCTGCGAGCTTCAGGGCTACAGACAGACGGGAGAGCAGGATAAGAAGTTAGAAGCCTGGGCATGTGTTCTACAAAACGAGGAGGGCCTAGAATTCCTCAGCGAAG